TCGATTTTTTGAGTTTTCGAGTATTCGATTTTTCAATTTTGGATTTTTCGATTTTTCATTTTCGATTTTTCATTTTCGATTTTTTGATTTTTCGTTTTTTCGTTTTTCGATTTTTCGATTTTTCGATTTTTCGATTTTTTGATTTTTCGATTTTTCGATTTTTCGATTTTTCGATTTTTCGATTTTTCGATTTTTCGATCTAGAAAATATCGTTATGATCTTTAGTTATCTACCGGAATGTGCCAGAATTACAAAAGCGTGAATTATCATAATTCACTCTAGTGATATATGGGTACCATATGCCTTTAGTTAGGAGGTAGAATATTGATTTATTATCAGGTGGTCGTGGACAAACATATTAAACTTGTCAGATTGACGTTAAAAACACGCAAAGTAGATGATACCTTCGGCTTAGTTTAACTATTACTTAAGTAAAACTTAAACTATTTGGATTGTCGTCAGAAAATGAAATGTGTAACTTAGGTGATACTCAAAGTTAAGGTTCACCTAAGAGGAAGTAGTGCAAACGGCCCTTAATGAATGAATTATCATCAAAAGTACTTTGTGGACACAGTACTCAATGTTGAGAAGTACTCTGTCTATTGAACACAATGTTGATATTTCTAAGTACCTAAAATTAAAGGCATTCTTAAAGAAAAAAAGTGATGGCTAAAAACAAAAAAAGCCAAAGTCCTGTCACAACAAGAAATAAATAATTTCATAGAAACAGCTCCAGATGAATTATATTTATTTACAAAGGTGAGCAAGTTTAATATCTATTATTTTGTTCAATGTGTGAGTATTTTTTATTATTTAAGGTTGCACTTATCCTTGGAATATCAGGAGCATGCCGAAAGCAGGAGCTCACACAGTTGACTATAAACGATATAGAGGATTTGGGTACAGCAGCTGTGATAAAAATGGATAACATAAAAAACCAAGTATCCAGAAAATTCACGATTAGTGGACCGTTTTATACCATATGCCAATCTTAGGAAACCAACCACTCAACTAAGGTTTTTTCTTAATTATAAAAATAAAAAATGCACCCAAGTAGTGGGTATAAACAAAATAGGCACTGTGCCAAAGGTAGTGGCCGAGTTTTTAAATCTTCCGAATCCAGAACAATATACTGGCCACACCTTTAGGCGTTCTTCTGCAACAATTTTGGTAGATGCAGGAGCAGGTCTTGCTGCATTAAAGCGCCACGGGGGATGGAAATCCTCTACCTTGACCGAGCAGTACATAGATGACTCTGCTAATAAAATAATGAACACCATTCAACGAAGAAGTTGCATGTAAAAACATTGAACAATACTCTGAACAAAATGCTGAAACTACACAACCCAGATATAGTGCAAGTTTGTGTACTTCATCTATACAGCAACAAATTAATGTAGATCCACAAGAGACATTAAACACATATATTAGGAGAACCACTGAGAATAATAATACTGCAACATTACAAAATTCACTGCAATTTAGTAAATGTTATAATAACAATTTTACTTTTAACTTTTATAACGTCCCAGAAAAAAAGTGTTACAAAATTATTAATAATTATTCAGTTCATACAGTTTAGTTACAAATATTTCCTAATTATTTAGTTATCTCTAGGTTAGTTACAAATATTTTTGATCCTTCCATTAGTTATCTCTACTTTAGATGTAAATTTTTATAAACTATTTTGTTATCTCTGCTTTAGTTATAAATGTTTCTTATTGTTATATTAGTTCTTGTTCTGCTTTAGTTATAAATATTTTTTAAACATTGCATTAGTTCTTGTCATTTCAACTGTTACAAAATGAAAAATATTTTGGAGATTTTTTTTACTTTTCAACACATGTGTTGATATTCTTTTCAACACATGTGTGATATACTTTTCAGTACATGTGTGATATGGTTTAATTGACTTTCTCATTTAAGAAAGACGTTTTTTAAGGATTTTGTGTGTGGTCGTAGGAAAAATAGTGTACACAACTCGTTGGAAAGTGTATTTCTCGCACTCGTTTAGTTTCCGCTAAACTTCAACTCGTGCGAAATGTTGCACTTTCCACACTTGTTATGTAATATAACTATCACATAAAACTTTTGACACGCAAAAACTGTATTTGTAACATTCCAATTCATTAATTCGTATGACTGAATTTCCGATATCACCCTGTATTGTGCAAAAAATAAAATACTTATTTTGACTACACCAATTCTAAAAAAAAGCTCAGCTTGTATATTTTTGTATAAGCCAGGTCCCTCTTTCAAAGATATCAAATAGTAAAACAGGACATATGTCGTAAAAAAGGACATTTTAAGCTTTAAAAAGTAGCAAGGACATTTTGATTGAAAAAAGACAGGTGGCAACCGTAAATGAGAGAAATAGTCTTTGCACAAATGACAAAAAAATTTAATAGAAAATTAATACTGACTGGCATTCCCCAATTTTCTGCAAATTTGCATTGATTAATAAGATCTAAACCTAGGTATAAAACAATTCAAATTAAAATGATTTCAGTCTTAGTGAGAGACAGTAAGAAGGGATAATTACCCCTACCCTAGTACCCCCACTCCGATTTTGCACGCTTCTTTACTATCATTTACATTTTAATACAACTAGGTATTATAATCGTAATTATTACAGTCGCATCTCAAATTAATCTAACCTCAAACTTCCTCGGTAATCGGTAAGAGTGCGTTTTATCGAAAAATATCATGAACGACTCTCGAAAGACCAGTTTTATCCCCGAAAACAACTACTACTATAAATAGTATCGTATTTCACTCGAGTCGCACAGGTTTTTCGCGAATTCGGAATAGAGACCGCACAAACACAAAAGATTTTCAATTCGTAAACTTCGGGTAAATATACAAAGAAGGCACGGAACAAGAGAAACAGAAGAAACTCACACGCACCTGTGTAGCACTAGCACAGGCAGGCACACAGAACATGAATAGGACCGTGTACCAGTTTCGAACACTCGGCGGTCCCCTCCATCTATCCCGAATACGAACTTATGAATGAATAGCCTCGCTGCAGGGCGTCACGGCCGGAACTGACGTAGTACGAGGAGCGAGTGTAAGGTTTCGGCGAGAGAGGTTAGGAATTGGTCGTTTCTTTTTTAATTTAGGGTTCTTTTTTTGAGATGAAGATTATGAGATGCGTTATGCTGCTGCTGTTACGATTTTTTTTGTGGTTTGATGTACGGTTTCAGAAGCTTTCGAGTTTTTTTAATTTTTGATAATTTCAAGATGTTATATCGGTTTCTCGGTATAGATCAGATCTCGGGTCGCAATGAGTTAAAAATCAGGGTCGTCTTTTCGTTTTTCGCGCTTGATAACAGCTTAAAACTGTACCTACCTGTTAAGGGTACGTTTTAGCATAATGCTAATGTTAAATATTTGGAATGTCAACTAAAAAATTATTTAAATATCCCAAACCTAAGGAAGAAATTTATCTCACCCTTCTGCAACATCATGAAAAGAGGTTTATCATCAGGGATAGGGGCGGTTTCTCAATTGGTTCATTTGTGCATTAAAAACCCAGTTCCATTTCATAAAAACAGATTATTTTAAAATAAATAACAAAAATATATTAATAATTCAATTTTAATCATCGCGTTTCCGTGGCGCTCTTTTATAAGTGAGCCCGAAGGAGTGAGAAGGGTTCTCAAAAGTCTATAGCTAAAAAGAGATGTCGCACGTTAACAAATCCGTGAAACGTAGTGAAACATAAAATCACTTAATTCAGCTTAATTTGCGCAATGCACACAGTGACGTCACAAAGTAGGGCGGGGCATACGAACTTTTCAATTATTAATATAAAAGAGATGCTATAACGATACTACAGATCTTAGATTGCAGTAGCCAGCCAAGAAAAATCATTGTACATTGTAAAAGAAGGTATTTCACGAGTATGACAATTTTGTTATATATTTTATTGGAACAAATATAATTTCTTGATCCTAGTACAATTTTGTATGAATACTTGTTTTATTCTGTAGGTTGTCCCTAATGAATTTAAAGTTATAGAAATATGTCCTATCTATACTAGAGGTACTGATAAACAGTGTCAGACTGATGTAGCGGTGAAGATTTAACTCGATTGCTTTAACAAAAAAAATGGAAGCTAAACTTACATTACAGTTTTTTTTTAGACGATATAAAAAACTAAATAGTTGTGTCTATGTTAGGTATGTACCTATTTCATGAAGACTTAACTTATTCTATGTCTGACTTTTTCAAGATATGATGCTGTACCAAAAGATCTTAAAGATCTATTTAAACGACTGGGCTTCCATTATGGACAAAAATAGCCAGTAAATGTTATATATCTTAACTTAGCAAGAGCATTTAATCGTGTTCTTAAAAAAACTACTTTTTAAGACGGAAAAAAATTTTATTCGCACTTACACAAGGTCATAGTTGGGCAATATCATCAGAATATTCATTTCTGAGCGGTGTTCCTCAAAGCTCTGCTATATGACTGTTACTGTAACAACCCCAAAAAAATTAAACTTACATGTTCAATTCTTTTTCGAACTCCCTAATCTGAATATTTTCCTAAAAATTAAAAATATAAATTTTTTCGTTCAATTATCCTACAATGGTTAGTTTGCTTCTTTTTCTTTCCTTTGCTTTGTTGGCTGCCATCATCTGCCCTTCCTATATGTCCATTTTCGTATTGCTTCCTAATTGTTCCCTTGATTCTGTCCAATGTTTTTGGTCCATTTGTTGAGACTGTCCCTGCTCCATGCTCTGCATTTTCATTATTTGTTTGTCGTCGTCCTCGTGTTTTGGTTGGTGATACTGGTTCCTGTGTAGTACCCATGGCGTCATTGCTGTTCCTATGCTGGCTATCAGATGTACTCCGAATCCGAGAGTTTGGTAGATTTTCATGCTGTTGAGTATTACGCTGCCAGCGTAATGGATCATTCGGAAAAATACGTAAAATCCGATACGTCCACTCATGAATGTTCCTATTTCGGAAAACCATTCCCATAACTGTTTCATGGATGATTTTGGATCTCGTTCGTGTTGAAAATGTTTGGTGCGGAGTATCCTTGGCTGTTGGCTTCTAGTCCTGCTGCTCGTCTGATTAGGATATCCTCTACTGCTTTTCTCTCTGTAACGAAGTTGAGGGTTCTTTGAGCATCAATGTTCTCTTTTTGTGCTCCTATTGGCTGGATTGGTTCGAACTGTATTTTTGGCTCCTTTTCTACTTCTAGTTCTTTTGGTGGTGATACAACTCTAGGATGTGGATTTAGGCCTATCCATTGATCATCTAGGTAGTATAGAGGTGGTATCAGGTTATTGCAGCCTATTTCTTCTGCATAATCTTGAATTACCCTGGTTAATGGCGACATAAACTTTGACTGGTTTTACATCGTGATTGGCAGTTCGTGATAACACTTATCTGTTCGTCTGAACATAACTATTTTCAGTGTGCATTTTCTGATATATAGTACTTCTCCAATGACTCTTCCTATATATTCTGTCGCATGCTGCATTAGTTGGCTTACGGCGTTGAGTAATATTGGAGCCATTTGTGATTATACTTCAATTCCGCATAGTATAGCTCTTTTCTGCAGTGCTAATGCAAATAATTTGGTAGTTTCTTCGACTACTATTATTTCTTCTTGTGTTATTTTATTAATATTATTTTCCCCTTTTCCTTGGTATAATGAACTCAGGTGATCTTTGCACGATGGGAGGTTGAATTGCTCCTAGATTATTTCTCCATAAGTCGAGTCGAAACAATATTCTTTTAGGTAAGGATAGCTTACGCCTCCTTGTAGGTGTATCTCGTTCTTATCTAGGCTTATTGATATGTCCTAATCTCTGGTCATAATTGATACTGCTGCTACTATTACTACATCGGTCCATAGTCGTCCATTTTCTTGGTAAGTTACCCCTTGGCATGTTCCTTTGTCATCTAACTGTCCTTGTAGCGTGATGGATGCTGTGGTTGTGCCGTTCATTGCTATGTTGCCAATGGTTTGTCGGAAGATCTGTAGGGACTGGTATCTATGCTTAGTTCTGCACTCCTCTGCTCGTAGCTTGTGGATTGACTTGGATACTCCATTTTCTACAATGGAAGTGTGGCTGTACACACCACAATGAAACATTATTTTGGTGACTTCTACTAGGCAGGTCCAAATGTGTTGTCGCTGAAATTCATTTCTCTGGATAACTGGGACCGTGATATCTTCGCTTTCGTAGGTTAACTCTGGTGTGGGACATTTTTGTACATCTTTCAATGAAATGGTTGTGGTATTGGTCGCTTCTTTGGAACAATCATATGCTATGATTGCGCTTACACTTGGTAGGATGCTGATGATGACCAAAGCTAAGGTTGTGTGACGTTGTTTTCGGTCCATTCTTCTTTATTCTTTGTTGATAATACCTTGCTCGAAACGTAGTGACAAAAATTGACTAATAGTCTAAAAAATAAATTACTCAAATTATTATTTAGGGAATAAACCACTACTTGATAATATATCCAAACTTTTAGTAAAATAACTTATGATTCGTGACAACTAGATAAACTTCCTATTGAATTATATAGTTTGGATCTAAATAGTACTGGAAACTTTAGCTATATAATAATCTAAAATATATATTAGATAAATATAATACTCGGGACGAAAAATGTAAAATTGGCATTTATATGTAAATCATTTAATTATTATCAACCAAAACATTTTAAAAATAAGTTAAAGATATTTACCTATATTACACAATCGCTGCACAAAACTTTCCTGTACACATTTCGGTATTTCGGGACTCATAGTCCCGAAAAACGGGAGCTCTCGCCTTCGGCGAAAGTTCTGAACCTTAGTCCGCACTCGAAGTTCTTTTTTTTCTGTCCAGTCTCTTTATATAAACTCAAAATTTACGTGATAGTTGTTAGAATGCCAACTTTCTACTTTGAATTCCCTAGTTCAATGTAAGCCATTGACTGGAGTAATCTGATTGTTTGTTTTATTTCCATACGTGTTCCTTTTGAATTTTTAAATTTAAAACATTAAAATGCTTTTTTAAAATTTTTGATAAATTCTTTATATTTTCAAATAATAATGCCAATTATTACATTACATATTTCTGGTATACGCTGCTGATCTACGTTTATATTTTCATATTTCTAGTTACCTGATGACACTAAACTCTACCCAATTACAAAAAGATTTGGAAAACAAATTTTTGAGTTAAAAAAAGATGTCGAAAAAATTAAATTTGAATGTGAAATTACCCACATTTTATTAGATGTTTGCTAAAATTGTACCTTGCAAGCAATAATGTAAAAAAAATCATAAGCAGTTGTTGAATTTGAAAGTTGACCAAATAGATAAGAATTAAAATTAACAAATTCTAACCACAATTATGATATGAAACACCAGCATTTTTTCAAATATAAAACGTTCAAAACTTTTATTGAATGCCTGCCTAATACACTAATACACTAATTTTATTATAAATACCCATAAATAGAAACTACAAAACAAATAGACACCAATCAAAAAGTAAATATTTAGCAGATATCGCCCCCTTTCAATTTCAAATAGAGGGTATTATCGAATTGCCCTTTTTCGTACACCCTTGTCAAAAAAAGCGATATAATAAGGATGTTTTCCTTATTGGCCTTTAACTACATTTTAACCTTTTGTGAATTTTTACCTGACGAAGATAAGAGTAATGCGTTTAGATCGGTATACACTTGTTCTACTACATTTTTAGGAAGAAAGCTCGAAATTTTATCAATGACCGTTTGTCACAGATGTTGTACGAGGTGAGTCATCGATAGGGAATTTTTGGATTTAAACAATAGGGTATCTATTTTTGTAATATCAATAAATAAACGAAACTGGGTTAATTTTTGAAAACTGTTCCTGTTTAATCAAATATTACCATAATTTTTAAATGCTTTTTCTAATACGTATACAATAATGTTGCAAATTGGCAATTTTTTATTTTTTATGGAATAAATCTGTTATTTACGCTCGGAGAAGAAAATTCCTAATGCCTATTGATTTTGAAAAAAAATCGGATTAAAAATGGGGGGTTTAAAGATGGTTGAAATTAAAAAAAAAATCATAAATCAAAAATAAAAAACGATATCAACATGAAAATTTTTAGTAAAAATCAAGCTTTATAAGTGGATTATGCCTATTGATTGGGAAAAAAATTTGAATAAAACTGGGGGGTTAAGAGAGTACAATATTTAAAAAAATTCTAACTCAAAAACGAACAATAATATCAAACTGAAATTATTGAAAAAAAAAATAAGTTCTATAAGGAGATGAAGCTTATTGATTCTGAAAAAAAAATCTGAATAAACTGGGGGGTTACAATATTAAAAAAAAAATTCAAAAAAAAGTCCAAAACGAAAAATGACATCAACTTGAAATTTTTAGCAAACATCAAGCTCTGTAAGGAGAATTGCTTTGATTTTGAAAAAAAATCTAATTAAAAATGGGGGGTTTAAAGAAGGTTAAAATTAAAAAAAAAATCATAAATAAAAACTGAAAAGCGATATCAACTTGAAATTTTTAGTAAGCTCTATAAGGAGATGAAGCCTATTGATTGTGACAAAAATTTGAATAAAAGTGGGGGAGTTAAGGGGGGTTAAAATTAAAAAAAAATGATTGGAAAATCAAGTTCTATAAGGGGATGAAGCCTATTGATTTTGATAAAAATTGATTAAAAATGAGGGTAAAGGGGGTCTTTTAAACTGTGTAGAGTATAATTTAGAAGGCCAAGCGTTATATATCCTTATTCTAGTTTGTATCCGCGTAATTTTATGTATTATGATTGGACTGATCTTATAAAATAAACATTTTAGTTCACTTGTTTTATTTGCCAATATAAGGTATTAAAAATATATATTTTATTTGACATGTGTGACACATTGTAAAACATATTAAATTTACAATAAAAACTGAAAAACGGATCTGTTTAATATTTTTTACATAAAACCTGATAAAAGTGATAAATATTCAAAAATAATCTCAAAATATGAAGAACAGTCAGCTGCCTATAACTAATAATGTTTATACATGGTTTTCGACGTATTAAAAACAAAACAAATATTACAATATTACAAAGTTTTGAGCCGAAAATTATTGGAAAAAACTGAACATCCATTTTAAATTAGCACAAGCCGCCACTGACTACTGGTATTGTATTTATGTATATATTCCTCAATACATGTACACATTTTAATACCTGTATTTTAATTTCTGTATTTTAATTTCTGTATTTTAATTTCTGTATTTTAATTTATTTTAATTTCTGTATTTTAATTTCTGTATTTTAATTTCTGTATTTTAATTTCTGTATTTTAATTTCTGTATTTTAATTTCTGTATTTTAATTTCAGTATTTTAATTTCTGTATTTTAATTTCTGTATTTTAATTTCTGTATTTTAATTTCTGTATTTTAATTTCTGTATTTTATTTTCTGTGTTTTAATTTCTGAATTTTAATTTATGTATTTTAATTTCTGTATTTTAATTTCAATTTCTGTATTTCAATTTAAATTATTTTTCTCTTTTGTGTGATGATGCTAAAAATATTGAATTTGTATTTCTTTTAATGTTTGATCTCTATTTTAGTTTTATTTATTTTTTATTTTTTTATTATTTTTTTTTATTCTTTATATAGCAGGTTCCGATTTTTAACAAAATGTAATACAAATATGAATCTCTTGACAACGCAGCATCAGACTTTCAAAACAAAATATTAACACAAAGCCCACTAATGCAGCAATCCAAAAATCTAAAAATATCACCAATATTTTTGCCTCTAAAACGTGCAGCACTCTGTACAAATTACACTATTTTCCGATTATAGAAGTTTTCTAAGTAAATAAGATGATTTTTGTTTCTTTTTTTTATACTACATCTATTTTTTTCACTGGAAATGACAGCTAAATGACAGTTCCTGTTGAATGTCGTTTTTCACATTCGATTCGAACCATTAATAAAAAAGATATGATCTCATGCCTTTTTCTTAGCCACTGCACCAATTTTTTTAACTGGAATTGACAGCTAAATGACAGTTCTCGTTAAATGCCGTTTGTCCACATACTTTGATTACTATACGAGGCAAGAGAGAGGTCCGACACGCCCAACATAGGGCGCGGCCATTTTGAACCCTGTGACACAGTTTACAGCTAAATAATCAGATCGCTCACTCTGCGTCGGCACTTTTGATCTCAATGTTTCAGTTTATACACTGTGCAACTCAGATAATACAATATATGACAACCGCCTATAATAAAACAGCAGTCTTCTGCGTATCCTGAATTTGTATCCCTGGAGTGGATGTTATTTTGGAACTTTCAACTGGTCCGAGTGAGCTAACTGATTCTTTAGCAATAAACTGTGACTTCAAAAATAATATTCACTGACACTGACAGCAGCAAGCAAAATATCAGGTGCGTTTTAATCATCCGCTTCTGCTTCCGGAATTGTCGGTTTAGTCGTTTTAACCTGTTAGATTAAAACAAGAAAACCGACAATTCCGAAGCAGAAGCGGATGATTAAAACGCACCTATTAAAAATATTGCGCCAAGATGTAGGCAACACGTAATAAGGGTTCAAACACTCAGAAAGCTGCGCAGTGCGACCATTCTCCGTATAGTAAAAGAAAATCAAAGTATGTGCGTTTGTCTCATTTGGTTCGGAGATATCGATGTAATATTGGTTTTGTTTTTTCGTTTACTCGTATATTTTTCGTACACATCGTATTTACCCTTGTTCACGTCAACGATGTCCACCATCTTGGAACGCTTAGCCAAGTCGCAAACCATTTATTCAAGTTTTAATTCTCGACACTAGCAGGTGGCGCCATTTCGTGGATTCTTTTAGTTTAAGTGAGCGCATGATTTAATAATGATATATGTATTTTTTCTACAGCCACATGGATATTAGCTTATCTACGCACAGATTACAAAACGAAAAAATATGCTATTACCTTCAACTAAACGAATATATTTCATATCCATTCTAGGTAGTGAGAACACTGCAAAAAAATTAAATCCACCAATCACCGTTCATATTTTGAACAACCTACTGCTATTATTTTTAAACTTTTAAATAAGTGACAATTCTGTCAAACTAATTGTCAGTATACTTTTTAGTTATTGAGATTAAATATACACTAAAATGGGTTATTCTTGTATAGGATCGATAAATAATAGCATTTGTTTTTATTTCGTCTATAATTATAAATAATTTGTTAATTTAAATAAAACTATATGAAGTCAATTTAAATACAAGTATTAAAGCAACAAAAATAAAAGAATAGGTAGTCCTGTGGTCAGCGTCTTGCCTTCCACACGGAAGACTCGAGTTCGATTCTAAGATGGGGGAAAATGA